CATCTAGAGAAGGGACAACTCCCAAACTTCTGAGGCTCTCGAGGTACACTGAACGGTATTTCGGAGGAGATTGTGAATTTGATCGATCATGCACGAAAAAGTGGTTCGGAACAGAGTGGGGTTTCGATCACTATTCTCTCATCGGTCAGAAAAAAAATCGTAAATGTCTATTTGAATCAAGCCCCATCCCCCCACCCCCCCTGACCCTCCCCATGCACCCCATCGATCTGTCTTTGAAATGACTAACATTGCTTCTAGTACGGTGTTATACAAAATTATCAGAAACAATATTGATATCACACACGTACAAAACTATACAAGCAATACAACAGTCTATGTTCTGTTGTTTTTTTTTTAAACCTAAAAGCTATTATTTGAAACAGCACTGATGACTGTGAAATGTGCAGTAGACAATGTCGTAGATGGATCTGTCTTGTCATTCTAAAGGTAAGAAAGCTGCGCTGCATAATACGACGTAGTATAATACCGACTGTCGCCTTTTTCCCCGTTAAGACAATGTATTCCCCGTGGTCCGCCTTCGCATTGACTGGCAGTGTTGAAGGAACCCGCCCTCTGAATGATCGGACATTGTGTCGATGAGGGCATTTAAATTTCTCCAATGTACAATTATAATCTATTTACACAGTATGATTCATGAAAGTACACAAGATACCGCACAGGAGGAGAATAAAACAAGAGTTATGTTTCTGATTGGCTAGATATAAAGATGATCTCTTAAAAAGTGAACACAAACAAAGGGGGAAAAAATCCCCAACTAAAACAGAACTCGCTCTATAATAGAAACGCATTGGGAAGTTCCACATAAAAAGGGAAAGGGCCACAGAGGCATTGTGGTAAAGAGCTGCCTTTTGTTTCAGGAGGTCGTGTAAACCACTGTCATTCTTTGACCGTGCAGCCGCTTAAGATATGTCACCTTTAAAACATCATTAAAAAATAATATCGATTGATTTAATGGGTAAAGCCAAATGACAGACCCAGACATACAAAGACGATAGTGGAAAATCGTGACCACTGGTTGCCCTTTTCTTACCACAAGTTCAAAACAAGATGAAAACTTTTGGGTTTTAGACTACATTTTAAAAGATTATTGCACGCGCCCAGGACTTGGAAGTTCTGAAAGAAAAAAAAAACCCCATTCTATTACACTGGTTCGTTTTACGGACTTAAAACAGTTTAATGAGAATGAGAAAAACTTCAGATGATGACCAAAGTTGAAAACAGACAAGACCTGAACATGCACAAACATTACACGTACATGGATATTTACACACTGATCATGTTATCTTAACACACATACACACACACTCACACATGCACACAAACATACACACACAAGCACACACATACTCACACACACACACACACACACAAACACACACACACACACACAAACACGAGTGTGCACGTGCCAAAAACACACAACTATAATATATTAACACGAGAGCTGATTCAACTAAAAAGAAGTCGTATTTATTCGCCTAGGTTTCCGTGCATCAATATGTCATAGATAATACAAGTTCATTTTGCTGTTAGTATATTATTATGTTTTTCTATGAACATTGTGTGAGGGTGTATATTATGTCACGATATTTTGAACATTAGTATGAAAATAAACAAGGGAATCCCAGACAATGCTGTATGCTGTATCTACAATTATAATTTAATTATCACTTGCCACACAGTAAATAGTTTACAGTATTGTGTGCATTTCATAATTCCGATAAAATAATTTTCACCCCCCTCCCCACTCAAGAAAAAACCGACGAAAGCAAAATCAATTCAAAAGACAAACAAAACAATAAAAGGTCATGTCAGAACAACGCTTTAAGATGTCCGGTTAGTGATCATGCCAAAAACAAGTGAGGCATGTCGTGAAAGCATGCGCTCGTCAAAATAATGAAATCGAAGAGATCGGCATTCTTCTTCTAGTTTGGCTATTTTTATCGATTATTTGGTTTTTGGTGCAACACCTTGAATGTCCATTTAAAAACACATTTTTGAGTGAATGTTTACTAAAAACGTTGATTAAGGTAACAAAAATGTAAATTTTCAGTTTCCAAGGACTCTCAATATAATTTGGAAATCTTTGGCGGTCATTTTCTCACTAACTTTGCCTCGGAAACTAGGCGACCCCACCCGTATTCAATCACAAATACCTTAGGTTCTGTTGAAGATAAATGGATATTTTTTCATCGAAATATAGACGAGCAAACAAGTTTTAAGATAGTACCAATAGCTCAACGTGTCCAAAACTTGACGGGAGCCTGGTTCCGCCGGAACAGTAGATTAGTGTGGATTAATATAATAATTCGGCGGCCAGCTGTAAAATTGTACTAAGCCCAAAATTTTGAACATTGAAAATTTTTGAGTGTTTAGTTTAAAAATTATTCTGTGTTATAGCCTGTTTTTTTGCTTAAGAAATGTTCTATCGAGATTCTGATTCTACATGTTGAAGAAAGCAAAACAAAAAATAAAAATAAAAATAAAATAAAACCACAAAAGACCCATTTAACATAAGCACAATTTTGTTAAAATAATGAAAACGTTTAGTTTTCTTCTCTCTCCTGAAAAAAATATTGCTTTTTGGGCTTAGTATATTTTAACAGCTTTCTTACGATTCGGGGGAATATAATATTATGATAATATAAGTACACGTTTTTCTTGACAGTAATATGTCTGCCATTTGCAATAAATCACACATATTTTATCACTCATTAATCACAGCCATTTTGTATTTCATTAGTAACAAGTAACGTTCAAACTCAGCGACTCAGCGAGCTCCAGCGTAGCTTTAGGTACACTCAACTACTAGGTTTGGTGTTTTCCCCTTTATTTATGTGCTTCCCTTTTACAAGTCACTACCTAGAACTACAAAGTTCTATCTGACATTTTTGGCCGTTTTGAGTTGCAAAGACCATGCAGTCAGACACCAAATGCTCTTTCTGCTCTATCAAACGCGTAAAGCTATTTGAAATTGTTATTAGTATATTCCAAGAATTTAGTTTAAAAAAGCTTGATATTTTGTGACGCTCATTTTTTTACGCTAAATTTCTCAAAACTATAGGTACTGAGCAAATCTAGGACAACAAACTGACTTCTTCCCCACTTCTCAACTTTTCTTTGGCGGTACACCTCCAGATTAAGCACTGAAAGCATCCCATCAAATTCATGTGTTTCCTTTTAACGCTTGAACTTTTGATCACTTCTCATCTTTTCCTTTCCAACCACCTGTTCGTTAAACATGGAAGATATGACATCCAACGTAATACAAGAACAGATCAGCTTTGTATTTTCAGATGGGTTTTACTACACGGTAATCAAATGATCCATTTTGCCCTCTCTGGATCGATAGCAACAACAATTTAAGCAGTGGCCCTCGCAAGAAATACGAATTTACCCGTAAAATGACCAGAGGCAAACTTTTCAATCATCTTGATAAGCAGGTTAAATTTCTCTTCTGAAATAAGAATAATTTAGAACTTATTCCTCGGGAAGCACAATTTTTTCACCCATTGTTTTTAAGTTTGTATATCCTCTAGAAGTGATTTCAGGAGTTCCATCAAACACTTGCAGAGTCACTATCACAGACACACATTTTGTAATATCATGATACAGTATAATAGTTATAATGATAATAATAATTATTACAATATTGATAATAAGTAATAATAATAAAATGGCA